AAAAGTAGATCATAACAATATTTATAATAATTTTCTAGGCAAATTTGCCTGGAAAAGCCTACAGTTTAAGGGATAACAATATTTTTCTATATAAAATTATTGCATTGTACAATGCCCTTTAACTATACAAATAATAATATAAAAATTATATAATAATAATATAAAAACTATATAAGTTTATAAATTATATTATTTTAATATAATAATTATATTATTAAAAAATTCAGATTTCTGCAAAGTAATTAAAGTCATACAAAATTAATTTTTTGGTTTTCATAACAACCGAATCGGTTTCTGCAAACCTTCAACATTAAAAAAAAATTTCACATAATTCCCGGGAGAACTTCATAACGTCATATTATTATTATAATAAAATAAAAAGCGATAATTTCATTTATGTTATGAAAACTCAAAAATTAACTTTGTTATTATGTGGACATCTTTTTTTGAACAAGCATGTTCAGTCACTTGGTAACAATGAACTTTTATTAGAATTCATGGAATCATTACTAACGGAGGATCAGCACCAAATGGTTCATAACTATTTATTTCTGACATTTTATCTGAAATGAATGATAAATTTTATATGCTTTGAGACTAATAATGTTACATTTATTAATTTGATCTTTAGTTATACCGGATTACACTTCTGGGAAATTTTATGCACGAGGAAGGACCATTGAAGACTTAAGAGCCCTTTGTCCACGTGTACAAAAATGTTTTGAGGCAGCGGCTGAAGCCACAGGTGCAAAACTTAAATCGAAATGGATGCGAGAAGTTTATGGTAAATTTTTTTTCATCTATTATTACTAAAAAAATAATAATAATAACCAAATTTTACTATTTAATAGACGTAAAAATAAATTCACCAATGGCAACGCGTTACGAAACTTATAATTCTCAAAAATTCGGAACCAAATTCCCTTCAGAAGAACAACAATCTTTAATTACATTCGGTACTACAGATCAAGGAAATGTAACATATGTAGTCCCAGGAATTCATCCTACTTATAACATTTTTGAGTCACCTGCTAAGGTTAGAAATCATACTCGAGAATTTGCTACTCAGGCGAGAACTAAATTCGCTCATGACAAAACAATAGAAGCTTCAAAGAGTATG